TATATGATGTATATATCAAGATTTGTTAAGTGACTGGGGTTAAAAAGTCCTAACGCACAGGAAATAGATCCTCAGTTCTGTATTGTGATCCTGAACATGGCATTGTGATATGGTAGGAAAACCATAGACTATGGTGTAAGATAAATAAGGTTTAAATCGCAAGTTTGACCAGCTGTGCAATCGTGCTAAGTCAATGCAACAGGGATACTAATAAGTCAACAAACCTTTGAAACCTATTGGAGGACTGCTTGGGCAGTGTTTTTTAACAATAAAATGGAACATTTATTAGACATCAGGAGTGAGCTCAGTTTCCTACTTGCCAGAATAAGCTTTTCTGTCTCTAGGACAGCTAGCTAGAAGGATGGTATATCAGCTCATTTTCTCATTGCTGTGACAAAATGCCTGACAAGAAGCAGCTAATGAGAAGCAGCTTTTATCTTAGCTCATGGTTTAAGAGGGTGCAGTCCATCATAGGGGGGAGGCGCTGCAGAAGTCTTGGCTGGAGAAGCATGGAACTGGGATTCCTCACAGCTAAGCAGACCAGGATGCAGAGAAAACAGAATGTGGTGCTCCTCGGCTGGCTTTCTCTTCTTCCCCTTTTTATTCAGTCTGGAATCCCATGCATGGGTTGGTGCTGCCCACATTCAAGGATCTTCCCCTCTCAACTAAACTTGCCTGGAAATGATCTCAACAGACATGGTTAGAGGTGAGTCTCTTGGGTGATTCTAAATGCTGCCAAGTTGACAATGAAGAGGCAACACCATAGAGGGAGGCAGTCTATTTCCACCTATCCATAAAGGGGGCTGATTTTCTTCCTGGGACTGTCCCTTTAGAGAAACTATACCTCTTGTCCAATTTTCTGACTAAAGTAACAATCCAGTGTTCCTCTTCTTTACCCCCATAAGTTAGGGCATCTCTCAGTCTTCATCAAAGAAACCCTTTGCAGTAGATAGCAATTAATACAGAGACCCACAACTGGTCAATGTGCAGAGAATAAGCGATTGTGCGATGCCCAGCCCTAAATTGGACACATATCATACTTCCTCCCCCCCAATTCTCAGGAACCATCACAGAAGAAGGGGCAGAAAGATTGGAGGAAACAGAAGTGGTGGAGGACTGATGCAAAATGGTGTTTTCCAGATATCACAGAGCCATTGTACACATGAACTCACAGCAGCTATGACTGCTTGCACAAGACCTGTACACAATCAAGCCAGACAAAATTCCAGCATGGATAGGGAGGGGCTCACAACTTCCATCCCCAGTTGTAGAGCTATTGACTGTTGATGGCTGCTGGAGGAGGGAGTGTGTCAATTTCCTTCAGGATTGGGACCCCTGATAGGCTGGCCATGCTCTGGTGGATGGCCCTAATGCACATACTGGCAGCACTAAGTGGACTCTGTATTTAAAAAGAATAGGTGGGCCTGGAGAGACGGCCTAGTGCTTAAAATCACTGGCTGCTCTTGTAAAGGACCCAGGTTCAATTCCCAGCACCCACATGGCAGCTAACAACCATCTATGACTCCACTTCCAGGGGAACCAATCCCCTCTTCTGACCTCTGTGGGCACTGCAAGACATGGGTGCACTTACACACACGCAGACATAACACCCATACACATAAAGTAAAAGTTAAAAAAAAAAAAGAGAGAGAGTAGGTGAAGTTGGGAGGAAAAAGCAGTATCATGTAACCATGTGATACACGTGGAGGACAAGGGTGCACATGTGTGGGTATGGAGGCCAGAAGTTGGCCATTGATGTCATCCTCAGTTGCTCTCCACTGTATTTTTGAGACAGAGTCTCACACTGATCCTGGAATTCACTGATTCAGCTATACTATCAAGACATAAAGCTCTAGATAGTTTCTTATCTCTGTCACCCTGGTGCTAGAATTACAGGTATGTGTCACCGTGCCTGACTTTTTACATGGGTGCTGGGGATTTTTTTTTAAATTTATTTTAATTAAAAGAAGCATTTCATTACAACAGCATTAACCTATTCAATAACATTTTTCTGAGCTAGGGTACATCTCTTTCAAAATTGGCTGTACATTTCTAGGTTTACAGATGAATTATTACCCTTATATAATCTTTTACTCATTATAAACTCTATAA